TAAGCCGTATTCCGTGTGTGTTCGCTGCCCCCGCATCCACGCCCCCGAATCTACGGCGCGATGCCGTGTCCACACCCCCCCCCATCGGTGTGTTCACACCGCTAGGCTACTCCCTCGGCGGGAACGTCGCGCTGCATGCCGCCGCCCTCGACCCTCGCGTGTCCGCCGTGGCTGCCTTCGCTGCCTTCACTCCCATGCGCACCGACCTTGTCGGCCGCCCGACCGGCGGCTTGCGCCGCCTCTTCGAGACGCACGCGCTGCTGCCGCGGCTCGGCTTCTTTGAGCGCGAGCCGCATCGCGTGCCGTATGACTTCGACGAGCTGCTCCGCGCCATCGCGCCGCGGCCCGCGCTGCTGCACACGCCGACGCGCGACCGCGACGCCAACGCGAGCGAGGTGGACGCCCTCATCGACCGCGTCCGGTGGGCGCGCCTCGTGCAGCACGCCCCGCCCACAGCCACGCGCATGGGGTCGGCCGAGGTGAAGGTACTTGTACGGTGGCTGGAGGAGGAGGTGGCTGGGGTGACGCCACGAGTCCGCGCGACGTAAGGTAAGGTTAAGGGAAAAAACTGTGCTGAGGGAGCATCCTGTGCTTCCTTTGGGAAGTGCGCACCTCCTGCAGCTGGTGGAAGGCCGTGCCGCCGCTCGCCTGCTCCGTGGACAGGGCGGGGAGGCGGCGCCGCAGCGCCGCAGCGTCCGCTGCACGCCGGTGCAGTGCACTCTGCTGCCTGGTGAGCAGCCTGCTGATGGTGTGCGCGGTGTTGGCGAGGCGGCTTTGGCGCTGTACTGCCAGCCGAGGCGAGTGGCGCGCGGCACGCGCGGCGCCGCGCGTGGCCCGGACGGCGCCAGAGAGCGCGCTCGACGGCGATCCTCCTCTGTAAGGCCCTCGAGGGCGTCGCGGCCACCGTGTTCCTTCCGGCGCTCATGTCGCTGCTCCTCGGGGTCGTCCCTGATCGCGAGGTGACGCGCATGGTCGCGCTGACGGAGATGTATCCAACAAGCTCGGCTCGGTGCTGTTGACAGTGCTTGCTGGCGTGATTGCTGGCGTGGCGTACCCCAACGTCGAGGGCATCTTCTACCTTCTGGGCGCTGGAGGGGTGGCGGCCGCCGTCTTCGTGATGCTCATACCAGCTGAAACGATCAAGCACAAGCGAGCCAGGCAAGCCGTCGTCACGGTTGAGTCGATCACGGTTGACTCAACGCCATCAATTACGGGTGCGGTCGATGGCGAGGGCGGCAGCGACGCGCCCAGGCAGAGAGCCGCTGCCGCCGCCTCTCACACGCGCTACTCGCGCTACTCTGAACTCTTCCGCAGTCGCGGCATCGTCGCCCTGCTCACCTTCATGTACCATCTGTCGAACGCGGGCGTCACGCCGCTCGTCACGCAGCTCATCGCGCACGAGGACGAGCGCACCGGCCTCGTCTTCACCTCCGCCGTCCTGTGCATCTTCTACTTTGTGCAGGCGCCCACCGCCTACCTC